CTATCACCCAGGCTGGAGTGCAATGGCGCAATCTCGGCTCACTGCAACCTCCGCCTCCCTGGTCAAGCGATTCCCCTACCCCAGCCTCCCAAGTACTGGGATTACAGGCTTGGGCCACTGCACCCAGCCTCAGGAGGCTGGAGCAGGAGAATCGCTTGACCAGGGAGGCGGAGGTTGCAGTGAGCCAAGATCGCACCTGCACTCCAGTCTGGGTGATAGGGTGAGACTCCATCTCAAAACAGAAGTATGAACTTTGTTCATATCCTAATTCAAATAAGTAAAATATAAAAAAGACACAAATGGGGTAATTTAAACACTGAATATGGATTCAGCCATATGTGGATTTTTAACATATTGAATGTGTTTTAATTCATTTCAGTGAATAACTTAATTCTCCACTTGACCCAACCTTGGTCAAGAGGAGCTCCTTCAAGCTTGCTCCTATGTCCTTGTGACATGACCCCAGTACTCTTTGATAGCTTCTTTGCTTTCTGGTATGGGCATTCTGCAAATGTCCTGCTTCAGCCCTGGAATCTGTTATTTCCCTGAGGAGCCTGGTTCTTTTTAGTGGGAAATGTGTTTCAGAGACCACAATCTGTGTACTAGAATGACTCATTATTACTAGCGTAGCCATTATAGACTTCTTCAATGTAAAATTACTTTTTAAGAAAAAATATATTTTGGATTTATCCTGATATTTCTAATGAGATTTAGGATTATAGTGATTTAATTTTTTTTTCTTTTTTTTTGAGACGGAGTTTCACTCTTGTTGCCCAGGCTGGAGTGCAATGGTGCAATCTCGGCTCACTGCAACCTCTGCCTCCCAGGTTCAAGCGATTCCCCTGCCTCAGCCTCCCAAGTAACTAGGACTACAAGCCCGCATCACCACGCCCAGCTAATTTTTTGTATTTTAGTAGAGTTGGAGTTTCACCATTTTGGCCAGGATGGTCTCAATCTCCTGACCTCATTATCCGCCTGCCTTGGCCTCCCAAAGTGTCTGGATTACAGGTGTGAGCCACCACGCAGGGCTGCAAACATACTTTAATATGGCAAAATAATCACATACATCATGCATTTTTCACTTTGTAGCATGTTTATGTCTTACAGAATCTGCCGTGGTCTCACGTAGAAAAATGTTTAATAAGAACTTCAATATTACATTTCTGTCTACTGTTTCCATGTCTGTATCAATAATGCAGTCGTTTGAGGAACAACTTTCTCCACATCAGTGTTTATATTATTCTTTTTTTTTTTTTTTTTTT